AAAATGAGGTGTTTTTTTTTTTTTTTAATTATCAGGTAACAGTCTTTAGTGTATCAAATGTACACATTAGAATCTATGTATTTAAGGATTAGTGAATATATATGAAGAGTGACACCTGGAAGAAAGTGGATGTTCTAGTGTCAGATACTCCAAAAATGGAAGGTCAACAATGAATATAACAATTATGAGATTAACATGAGTGTTAAGAGCTTATTTGCCTAAGGAATTTAGTGACACAGAAATGACCCAACGTGTCACATTTACCTAAGTCTTATTTTGAGAGAAACTCCAAAGCCAGTAAATGAAATATTTTTGAACAATGAAAATTTCCATCCACATCTCAGCTGGACCCCCCTCAAAACCTCATTCTTCATTTGCTAAAAGGTGAAACTATCTACTTCCCAGGGTTAAGTGAAGAACATATGAGGTACAATGTGGACCTCTAGACACCCAATAAATATGACTACTATTAGCTCCCTCCAGTAGACCTGAAGGAAAAAGAAATGGGCTCATATATTTTCCATTAAAATCTTCACAAGGGTCTTTGTACTTCTATTTATAATACACCCTATCTCTTCTTGCAATGAACACATATTAAGCATTGACTACTCAAGTTCTGTGGTTGTAAAATTTATTGTAATAATATGAAACTCCTGGCATAAAGGATGATTTGTCTAGGCGAGGAGGTAAGAGTTCAAAAGATTAAGATAACTTTTTAGCAATTCTAAGTGTATACTTTCAAAATCATATTGAAATGTTCACATATGTACATATCTAAAATTTAATAATTATATTTTTATTAGCATGAGATTGAGTTTCCAATTAATGTTACTTTATGGAAAGTGATTACACAGAGAAAATTTACCACTTGGTTTTCCTGAGTTAATCTTATAAGCCTTTTAAAGGGATGCTGTTGCTAATTACACTTAATTAATAAATATACTCATATTTAAAGTTTTATATCAATGCCAAATGAGACTGCTGCTAAATGTATTATGGCTACTACCCTATCCTGCAAAGATTGCTTTTTAAAATAAAGGGTAAAGAAGCTATATTGTTTTAGTGAATCATAACTGTATTTAGAAGTAAAATTTGAGAGGCCCATTGTTATAAATATTTATTGACTCATTTAAGAGAACAAAAACTAAATTTCTCTTAACCTTGAACTATTAAGTCAAAAGAAATTGTCGTGTTTACCGAATAGAGTACAATGAATATTGACATATGTATTCATCATTGAACTCTATTGGTCAACAAAAATGATATTGATTTACTCTAAGTAAATGTATCAAAATCTTGGTAAATAAAAATAAGTATTGATTACATCTTAGAGAGATAAAAGGAGAGATATTTATAATCACTCACTGTGAATACTGGGTTGTTTATAGAAAACAGCAAAATTAAATCAATCTTATCCTATCATTTTATATACTTAAATGTTTATATACTTATAATTATATACTTAAATATATTATTATGAATAATTGTATATTATTTAAATAAATGTTATTTAAATAAGTATGTAAATAATTATATACCTAAATGTTTAAGTAAACATTTAAGTATATTTTATAAAAAATACATTTATGGATCAATTTTGGCTACTTTTATTTTTAATCATTTTTGTTAAACTATGATACTTTGTGTTTTTAATCACATTTTTTAATATATGATGTTTGTGGAATAGGCTCATTCATAATTTTATATTTTTTTTTGTTGAAATATAAGAAACAACATCTTAGCTAATTAATTTGTTCAGAAATTTATGTTACAGGATAATCGTTTTGGTAGAATTTTGGTTATAACATTTTAACAAAATACTAGTAGAAGAAATAGTTAATTTTTGTTATTTCACATTTTAAACAGGGATGTTTAATATGAACATTTTTAGTATAAGTTTCACATGAATTCTGGCATTATATAAAATGTTATTCATATCATATTTTCATTCTGTTGACTCAGTTCTGGTACAAATGAATCTTCTCTTCCTCCTAAACTTATCAATAGGACCCTGACAGACAGAAGACTATTGATTTGTATTGTGGTTTATTTTTCACTGCCAATCACCAGGCTATTTGGAAAGACACCCATGCACATCTCCACAAATACCCCACATTTTAGGGATACTACCAGTAATCAATGATTTTTTTTTTCTGAGTGTGCCACCTGTCTCTCACCAGCTAGGTATTAATGCAGCAATTGAATGTTCTAGTAAATAATTTTGAATATCTCTTAATGTTGAAAGAGTTCAGCATCCTTATTCCCAGTAAAACTTATTTTTATACATTATATGCCATGTAATAATTTAATATACTTTAAAGATGAACATGATTATAAATTTCAGGAATTAGTATGATCTTCATATACAGACTTACACCATCTTCTGAAAATGAGTTCAAGTAAATCTGAAAAACCTCAACATAAACTTGCTGACTCAAGACAGTTCTAGCAAAGACAAATTCTTGAAGCACCTGAGGCACTGTGCCTCTGAATTATATAATTGTATCATTAGATTTCAATGTTATCATTTTTCTCAATTTTATTGAAAAAAGTTCTCAGAAATTACTAAGAGCTTTCTTAAACGTTTCCAATGGTACTTTTTACAGGTTTGGCTCCAAAAAGAGATAATGGTATAAAGCTAATTCCTTTCCTTTTTCTTTATTGGCTTTCATTCTGTTTGGTTTTGTTTAATTTTGGAAATAGAAAACAATATTTACTCCTCTTCAAGCTATTGTATAAGACTAAAAGAAAATGTATTTGTTTGATTCTGAGGAATGTCACAAACAGCAATTGCTTATAAATAAAGTAGGAAGTGAAAACCCCATGTAATGCCTCTGTCAGCAAAGACTAGTAGAAGAGGGTTTATAATAAATATTCACATCTTCTGCTTTGGACACTCTAATCCATCCTAAAAATCTTTGCTGTGTCAGGCTTTGTTCTAGATGAAGAAGCCAAGTAGTTATAAAGGTTTGCAAATAGGGTCATATCTATCATTATTAACTTCACTTTTATAACTTTTGTCTGTATTAGAGATGTCCATGATAATTTGCAATGTAATGTGATTAAATATTTCTCCATGTTTTCAGTGATATTGTTCTAGAATTCTTAATATGAAATGGACAAATCCTGTTTTCACAATATATCACTTACCTAAAATATACCAGGAAGGCATCCTTGGTAATAATGCTATGCTACTTATGGGAAACATGATGACCAAAAGTTCAGGCTGTGGATTTGAGGTGGTTGTAATGAAATTCTAACTCTCAAACCTAGGGAGTCATTGGAACAAGTTTATTAGCCTTTCAACCTTCTCTTTCAAAATGGAGTTAGCATTATTTATTTATAATTAAATTATTATAAGAACTACATGGGGTTATCTATATCAGCCACTAAATATAGTGTCTACCATGCTGGGTTTAATAAACATTAAATATAATCACTGGAATGGTAATATGCATTTTACATGTGATTAGATAATCCCGTGGAGTACCATAGTAATAACTATTTTCCCAAAGTACTGAGCTTATATAAACATATTTTATAGCTTTTACCAGCATTAAATTCCTTGATAGTTGATACTGGATTATTTATTCAAAATATTAATTAAAATTATATTACTGATTTGTTTTTCATTTTGAGGAAATGATTCACTAAAAATACATGGAATGGTATAAAAATTGTGAGAATACCCTATGCTGTGTTATAACTATCTTATATAGCAAAAATTTAGTTGAACAGAATTTTCAATTTTAAGTTTGAGTTACTTTGAAGTGGAGGAATTTATTTTTAACTTCAAACAAAGAATATTTTGTTCACAAGTATCATAATTTTTAAGGGATAAATGTAAATTATCATGTTTTAAATAATGATTTAGCATAACTATAGCAAAATTTAAAGTTAAATACAAATGTTAAACTAATGTAAAATAGATATCAATATAGATCATATTTCTGACACAGATAAATTTTGAGACCTACACTTTCTAAAATTTAATATATAATTTATTTGAAAAGAAAGTTGTCTTGCTTATTTAAATCTTCTTCTTAAAATGATTTAATCACAAATATTAAAAAATTAGCAGGACTTTTAATGACCTCTACATATAAAAAATGCAAAATTTTAATTTTATTTCTCCAATATATAATTTCATAATCTGATCATCTTAATTTTGACTCAAATTATTTTCTATAGCTCTTAGATATTTGATAACTGACATCCAACATAAAATCTGTTGAATCACAATTGAAACAAATTAGAATGTTCCATTGCAGATAAACTGCTTGAAATAAACTTTGATGTTTTGATTTTCATTCTTTCCCTCCCCCCATACCCTCAGGTCGAGTTTTAGCTCAGGCGAGCAGCAATGGAGTTATCCATCTGCTAGATCTTAAATCTGGGCAGATTCACAAATTGATGGGCCACGAGAGCGAGGTGCACACGGTCGCCTTTTCCAACGATGGGGAGATTCTATTTTCCGGAGGCTCTGACGGCACAGTTAGAGCTTGGTCCTGAACGTCAGCATGTCCCACTGCGGAGGGCATTCCCTTTGAAGCTTGAAAACGCCTCTCAAAAGTCTCAAACCAGTAATTAACTGGTTAAATATGCCAGCAGATAACATTTACATGATCTTTTAAAACACGCTTTGGACATATATTTCAATAGTCATACTGTTACCAATAAAAAAAAAACTTTCTACCCTTTTGTGTCTTTTTTTTCTCTCTCTTATTTTGATAAGAATTTACACACAGAGCATCTTTGCCAAGGGTTTGGGAGAAACAGCTTTACAATGACGCCTAATGACAGACTAGACGAATTACAGGAGATTGATTTTTAATATTAGAGAACAAACTGCAGGAAAACCCAGCTACTTTTTTTTTCGTTGTTGTTAATCAAACCCAAGCTGCAGGAAGACTTGAAGTTTAATCTTGTAACAGCACTGGGAAAGTCTGCAACCAAAGAGGTCAGTTAGAATGGACGAGCATACATTTTCACAGATTTTTTTTTACAATGATTATGCTTTATCTATTAATAATAATTGGGAGCTGCAGATGGCTTAAATCTAAATGCCAGTCTCTCCCAGAACTTTCATCTCTGCAGCCAATCCAAAAATGCGTTAGGTTTAATCACAATTTTTTTTAAAGTCTCCGATTGTAATTTCAATGCAAATAAGTATCTTGCACGTAGAAAGCCTTTCCCCTCCTAATGCACGCGTCCACTGTGTAAAGTGCCACTGCTTAGAGAACACTCTCCAGGTCTAAAGAAGCAGCTTGGGGATTTCGACGGAGCTGGGCTCAGAAGCCAGTTGTTGGCGCTGTCCGTGGTGCTGAGGAATTCCCGGCTGCCGGCAGAAAGAGCTCCAAATCAGCAGTCTGCAAACTGCTCTCACTGATGCAGAAACCCAGCTAAAGTTGCTCCTTTCCTACACGTCCACAGTTAGCGCTTTTTTGGTGTGTAAGAGGGGATTCAAGCAACATCTTCTGGGTGATGCCGATGGTATTGCCAGCGGAGCAGGCTTTAAGCTACAGCATGCTGTTGCTGTTTGAGATCCTCAGAGCCTAGCCAAATCACCTCTACTGCCGTAGCAAACACTGTGTAAGTGAACTCATGTGTGGAGGAGGCGTAATCAGCCGGGAAATTTCATAGAAGGATCTAAGAAAATGCTAAAAATAAGTTCAACATGATTCTGCTACTGGAGTCTGGATTTCTACAAGACCAGCGTGCTTCTTGCTTTGAATTCTGAAGACAGGTCCAAAGCATATTTCTTATGTGTGCCTGCTGTGTTTTCTCTGGAAGGGCGGGAGGCTGCTTCTTGACTGTGTTTTGAAATGGGAGGTAAAGAGAATGGATTGCATTTAATTCATGCCTGAACATGTATTCTTTGGGTGATTAAAGAGGAGCAGCTTTCCTAAAACATACCTGACCTTTTAGTTCATATCGGTCTGTGACCCCAACATCATCATTAACCTCCAGAGTGATTAGGTAAGTGTATCTTATGACATGAGTTATGTTTGTATTCTCAGAGAAACAGATGCAGTCATTTTAAATCATACGTTTCAATATGGGGAGGGGGGAAAGTTTAGCTAGAAAGTAATTCCTGTTTAGCAGTGTTTGCTTTCTTATTAAAAATATCCAGATAAACATTTTATCTGATTTTTTGAATGTTTCTTTTTTGAATACTGTCTTAAAATGCACTAGAGCAGATCAATTATGAAGGCTTTAAAAAAACAATAGCCTAAGAACTTTGTTATATTAAAAAGAAAGTCTTATTTTCTTCATGCAGATTTTAAAATGGATTTCATAGAGTAAAAGCATGCTTAATATTCATGCAAAGTGGATATTCCACCCCTTTTTTAACCTTTAAATAAACATTTACAATAACCTGTCATATTAATTCCTACCTGTAGCTTACAACGAGATCATTTTCTGTCCATGTCCTTTAGAAGCAAAATTATATGTGTATTTCATGTGGCTTATCTTGCATGCACTGACAGACACTGCTGGAATATTATAAGGAAGCATAGTAGTTCCCTTTTCTTCCAAGATAAACTTTCCAAAAATGTGAGAGATGTATAAATACTTGATTTAATTAGTAGGATATAGTTGTGCTTTTTTCCTCGGAAGCTTATTTTGTGGCTTCTGTAGTAATTTCAGAGAAAAAAATGCTTTGTCAAAAGGAGCTTCCAGCTTCTCAAGTAGAATTATAGGTTTGCATTTTCTTGTTCTACCATGACTCATTATTTTTGACATATTTTAAAAGAAATCCATCTCCTTTATCATTACCCACTCAAAATGAATTCTAGTATCAGAGAGTACTAGGAGAATTCTAATATTTTCTCTGAAAATAAAGCATGAATATACTACCTTCCATTTTACTATTACTATAATTTGCATATCTAGCTTAAAATGCAGATATAGTAGTTTATGAAGTTTCCTAATGTCATCTTTATATAAACTTTTCATCTGTGTATGTAAGACTGAAAAGAAATGGTTTATCCTTGTTATAAATGTAATCTGAAAATAAACCCATGAATGACATTTATAAATGATCAGAAAATGCCCTATATAGCATTTTAGTGATATTGGCTTAGAGCCAATAGTATTTAAAATGACAAATGAATTACTTGACAATACTTTGCCTCATCTAGTATTCCCTAAAGTCAGTTTCCCCAAGCCTTTGTGTGATTTAGTTACTCTAAACATTTAAATAATAACCTCCTACCAACACTTGACACCAACCACCAATACTAAGCTTACAATGGTCAATGTCAAAGTAATAAATAATATTTTCTATGAATATTAATGCCTAATTATTATTTAAGAATGACCAAAGAGTTTTATATACTCATATTTATGCAAATTTTCTAAATAAAAATATTACTGGTATTTTGAAAGTTATACTTTCAAGACCATATGAATGACTTTTATATTATATGGAAGTAATTCAAGCAATATATGAATGCTAGGGTCAAGTCACTGTTAAAGTAAATTCATGGGTATATCTTTCCTGCCCACTAGGAGCTTACTTCCTCAGTAAAATTATAATGTAGGCAATAATAAAAATAAATTTTTAATAAATCTATATTATTTCCTTTGTATTATTATTTTAAATTTTCTTTCTTACTCACTATGGAATAATTATATGCTGTTTCTATGATTAACTATGTTCCAAAGTTAAAATCTACACTCACTGAAACAAGTAACTCCATCTTGAGACCATTGTTCTCTAATTATGCACATAACCAAATAAGAAAGCCTTTAGACCAGCTCCATCTCAATTATAATTTTCATTCAACTATTGGTTTATTCCCTTTCTTTTGTAATTAGATTTTCCCACTAACCTCTTCAATTGTGATGCAGATGATTATAACATATATACTTTGTATTACTGTCTAGTCCAACTCAAAGAAAAACAGAAGATAGGGGTTTAAATTTTATTGAGCTATTTGTAAGTAACTACTTGTAATCACCTCTTGAGGCTCAGTAAGACCACTTCTCACAATTTACAAAATGTCAGATCTTTGAAATTCAGTAGGTAAATTCAAACTAAAGTTTCCTATATCCAATAACTTTATAAAGGATAACTTTTGATGTATGTATTACCAGAGATCAACTATCCAAACTTCATGATAAATTATAGATAGCTCCATGAACTTAATCTATTTGAGATCTTAGTATCTTCCAAATTGACCCCATACAGTTTAAGAGCATGGACTTAAATGAATATATATTCTCTTTATATATGTTCACATTATTATTTTTAAATATTTATTTTCAGCCTACCCCTCCTGTATTCTCATGGAAGGAGCTGAGTATATTTACTACTAGGAGCACACCCAGAAGTCTTTGAGGAGGGGGATGGCTCTTCATGTACATGAAGCTTGCATACTGCTATTGGTTATCCCTGGATTGGTCACTTCTGCTGCCATCAGTCATGAAGACTATCCTGCTGATGAAGGTGACCAGATCTCCAGCAATGACAATCTGATCTTTGATGACTATCGAGGGAAAGGGTGTGTGGATGACAGCGGCTTTGTGTACAAGTTGGGAGAACGATTTTTCCCAGGGCATTCCAACTGTCCCTGTGTCTGTGCTCTGGATGGACCTGTTTGCGACCAGCCAGAATGCCCTAAAATTCATCCTAAGTGTACTAAAGTGGAACATAACGGATGCTGTCCTGAATGCAAAGAAGTGAAAAACTTTTGTGAATATCATGGGAAAAATTACAAAATCTTGGAGGAATTTAAGGTATGAGTTACCCTCCATATTTATTGATAACATGCTTAGTAGATTGCTATTGTAAAATCAAAACTGAGAAATTGTATTTTAAAATTTTCCTTTGAAACAAAAATGTGATCTCAGTTTGCAGAAGTAGCATCATGATCTACAAATAGACAACTGGTTTGTTGATCAATATTTGTAGAATTTCACAAAAATTATTTTCTTCACAAGTATTTCAGGATGTTTAATGTTTTATTTTTTGCCTCTAGAATATTTCTTGGGTGCTATTATAAAATATTTCCTGAGGACAACAATTTTATTGGTAGGCTCTTTGTCTATTAATTTTTTTTAGATTTTTAGATATTTTTGTCTCTTTTTAGCCTGTACTTGAAACTACTTAACTATACAATTATTTGTTTAGTATGTGGAAATGTAATAAGACAGAATTCTGAACTATGATCTTCATATTAAGAAAATGCATCGAGTCTATTTGTAGAGTCAAATCTCCATTCTGTTCTCTGTTTAGTTTTTTTTATGTTTGTTAGAGTTAAAGGACTCCATAGTGAACCAAATTTAACCACAGTCCATGGTAAAAAGTAGTAAAGAATGTAATTTTTTCAGCCTACACGCTACTTCTCAGTTTATCTTTTGGAGTTCAGTTTTTACCTCCTTTTGGATTCTCCTTTCTCTAATGGCTAGTTTTAATTGGGATGTTCTACAAACCAGATAGAAATCCTGAGGATATGAATTAATACATAAAAGATATCCTTTTAAAATGTTGTGGCAGTTTGTGGTTTAGAGTGTCTGGCATACTGATGGCCTGACATAAAAGGTTCTCATTTACTCTAACCAAGCTCTTTGATAAGGTGCTTGGGACTTTAATAAGCAAGAGAAGATACAACTAGTTTTCAGCATTTTTTTTTTTTTGAGAGAAGAATGTTCGGTTATTAGCATTGGCCTAACTTTTCTTTTTACAACAATCATATAGTACCAGAAGTATATATGTGGAAAAAAGGTTTTAAATGATCATTAATAGAGTATTTGGTGCATTGACATTTCATTGCATTCAATCCATTCCAGGTTATGGATTGAAACTAGATCTAATTTACCCAGGAATATCCAATTATTTTAACTAGATTCACTGGAACATGAGCTAAATTTCAATTATGTCTGCAACTAACTTAGACATAAGTATTTTTCTAGATTTTTCTCATGTAATACTAAAGTTTGATAGTCATTTTGACATTAAATAATAGTAGAGTATGGTACTGTCATTTATTAATGGCTTTATGTTGACTAAAATATTGTATGTAAATTGACATTAGCTGTTATTATTCTTAGCCCAATGAAAATAATAAGTACTCAATACATCATGATTTATAGAGTCATGTCTAGAATCATGTCACCCTTTTCTAAAATGCATATAATTCTGGAGTAGAATGCAAAAGTATAGTTTAGGAACATCATCTCATAACCTAATCCAAACAAAAAGTACACAAAGTTTCTAAAATTTATATAATTTGTTAATCACTATTGAATAAAGAACTGAAGAGACTGATTATCTGAACAAAGTCAACTCACCACTAAATAATATGATTTCCCTCTAATATGTTTATTGCACTAAAAACAAAATCTTACTATATCCAAATGCAAAGATAAATTAAAAATGTTGATAATTTCTATACTACTTCTAATTATATCCCAACTAAATCTAGCATCTACCATTTGCTTCCCTATGCATAACCCACTAAGGTAGAAGGATTTTGCACTGATTTTTTTTTCTTTTGACAGGCAGAGTGGACAGTGAGAAAGAGAGACAGAGAGAAAGGTCTTCCTTTGCCATTGGTTCACCCTCCAATGGCTGCCGCGTGCGGCCGGCGCACCGCGCTGATCCGATGGCAGGAGCCAGGTACTTATCCTGGTCTCCCATGGGGTGCAGGGTCCAAGTACTTGAGCCATCCTCCACTGCACTCCCTGGCTACAGCAGAGAGCTGGCCTGGAAGAGGGGCAACCAGGACAGAATCCGGCGCCCCAACCGGGACTAGAACCCGGTGTCCCGGCGCCGCAAGGTGGAGGATTAGCCTAGTGAGCCGCGGCGCTGGCCTGCACTGATTTTATGTGCCATAACATTTTTAAAAAATGTGTGTGTGTGTGATTTTTTAAAAAATAGGTCCACTTTTTCACAGGAATTTAGCCATAAGGAGTTCTAGAGATATGTAGCACAAAACTATAAGAATGAATAACTGTCCAAGAACCTTATTTGTCCAAAATTGTCAAGTTATTTAACTTATTTCTAAATGCTACCATTATAACAATAAACTTAATGCAAGCTCTCAATACATGTTAGCTCTAGTGTCAGATATACTTGGATTGAAATCCCAAAATTCAACACTTGGAAATAAAATTTTGGAAGGAATACTTAAATTTTTTTAGCCATAATGTCTTGATAACAAAATATCTATCAAAATTATTTTCTTGGGAAGAGAATGTTGGAAATATTTAATGAGATATAATTTATGTGAAGTTACTAGCCTTCTGATGACTAGTACATAATAGGTATTGAATAAATGGTTAGTCTCCTCCTTCTAACTCTAATATCCAGGGATTTATTCTACGTTCTGAATTACCTGTGGCTTTGTCTATACTTTATAATGGAAACTCAACACTAGAAGGCATTCAAATGAAGGTATTCTAATACCTTTATTAAATGTTCTACTTATCCTTGGAATATGTTAACTGTTAACTTGAGTCTCCTCCAACTTGGCTGACAAAAAAACAAGTAACTAATTTCTAAAAGTATATGGAACTTTCATATAATAATCTTGTTATTAAGGAGGCTGTATTATGAAATGTTCTCCACACTAACATACTCATCCAATAAGAATTTATCAGACTATTTTCTATATATGATATTGTGGTTGTACTAACATTAGAAAGAATGATAGCTAGAAAGAGAATCTCTGCTCACAAGGAACATATGATCTATGTGGAAAAGGCTATAAAAATCATTCACACTTAAAGTATATGATAAAGAAGTTTTAATATAATTCCCAAAGGATTGTGGTGCCAAAGCTTATCAACATAGCATGAGGCTTGTTCAAGCAAGACTTTTTTTCTTAGGATGGTCAATGTATGGGCTGTTCTTAAGGAAGTAACTGAAATTAATCTGTGGATGTTAAAATTGCAAAGAGGAAACTACTGGAGCAAAATCAGGTATTAGTATAAATAGAATCTGAGAAGCAGGAGACTGGATTAACTAAAGTTAGGTCTGATTAAAATGCTATCCTATTAATAACAAAAGGTAAATTTGGAAATCTTGATGGACAATATATGAGAAGAACTGAAATACTGGTCTAAAATCTTTAGATTTAGTCTGAAGAATAATAGGAAATAAAATGCAGGTTATGCAGAGAGATGTCCTAGTTAAATATGATTTTGAAAAACAAAATTACTTTGTGTCCAGATACAGAGTTATATGGAGGTGAAAAGAAATTAATTGCAGGAGAGATATTTCAAAGGAACAAAGGATGAGATGACTGACACACATAAGGACAAAGGCAGTCGGGACAGTTGCCAAAATAAAATCTAAATTCATTAGTCTAGTACAGATTCTATTCATTGACCTGTTCAGGGACCTCAAACTCTTGGGGACTTCCCTTGCCTGTGTGTTAACACATGCTATCCCATAGTATAGAGAAATTTTACAACATTGGTATCCTGTGTATTTCCTGGTAGACCACTTTAAGACTCCATTTAAATCTCAACCCAACAAGAAAATCTATGTCAGTCCTACTGCTGTGCAGGGTCCAGTCTGGACTCTGCTCTTCTGTAAGTTCTCCCAACATGCTGTGTGCACCATGATAACAGCAACAGTAATCACCGTCAGACACTGAGAATTTTATGTGTATTGTAACACATTGCATTTCATACTAGCACTGGAAAACATCATCTCATTAGCAATGTTTTACATAAAGGAAAACTAAAGCAACAGAAAGTAAAGTAAGCTGTCCAAGATCATATAGCTGCAAAAGTAAAGAAGGGGGATTCAACCTGAGGAAGCCTGGCTACAGAATCTAAGCACTTCACCACCTCCACTGCCTCTATCACATTTTGCAATAACACATGTAATGTGAATCCACCTATCTCCCACTTGACAGTAAACCCTCTGAGGTTAGGAATGGTGTTTTTCTTATCCCTCTACTCCCAAACGCAGCACATTGCAAGTCATCTAACAGGTACTTGTTCATATGTGGCATAATGGGTAGAATGATAACTGGACCTATGGAATTAAGATGTTAACTAGAGTTATTTTAAAATGCCTTGGTTTCTGTTTCTGTGTTGATCTTTTCATTTTAATCATTTAAAGAAGCACTTACATTTCAGATAGACTGCTCTTTAGGTGACTGAAGATCACAGACATTGCTTTCTGATGGTGAGCCTGTTTGTGTAGTACTTCTGTTCTCCAGTGTTCTAGCAATACTGTGTAAAGATAAAGATCACCATATAGTAGGTTCTCTCATCTTTCATTTATTTGTACCCAGGCAGAATAATACTGGAACCTACTGTTTAAGAAAGTATATAAATAATAAATTAAAATAGCATTTCCTACCAAAGAAAGCAACTTGATTGGAAATGTGGCTCTGTGCATAACTATCTCATGCTGTTTTCCAAAGGCAGAAATAATTTCTTATTTTACTCAGTATTTTTATCACTCTGACTCTGCTAAAATTAGCCTTTCTGGAAATTTCTTTATACTTTATAAAACTTGTACTAATTCAGTTTCAGGTCATGCTCTGAAGGTTATGCTACATGCAGCTGAAGGAGATCTTATTTCATCTTTTGCATAACCTGTTTTTTCTTACAGTGATTTTCTGCAGTCAAAACCCATTGTCCCTATTCAGGATTTGGATGTAACTAAGATTTGCCTTTCCCTGCTGGCACTGACCTTTGTGTTTCCCACTATGAGCCAACAGTGGTTGACTAAGTCACTGGTTGCCAGCCCGAGTATTTTCTTACACTGCATTTTG